GAGGGACTGGGTGTGCAGGTTGCGAACCCATGACTGGAAAAAAAGATCACCAGCATCAGTGAATTTCGGATGCCTTACGTAGAACATGTCCTACCTTCAGACACTGCCTGCAATGCCACACGCAGGTACATCAATGCCAGTCCTCTCTGTCTACGCCCGCCTGCAGCCAGCAGTTGATGGTGATGTAGGCCAGCCTGTTCCCGGGGGTTCCGGTTTTATCTCAGCCTGGCAAGATCTTTTGGGGGAGACTGCAAAAGACAACAGATTTAAAAGCAGTTTTTGATATATGCGCTTCTATGCAGTGATTTTTGGCTTTGGCACTCGCAACGGTTTGGCGCCATGAATCGGAACCAAATCAACAACACCATACGGCGCCTCATGAAGTGTGGTGCTCCAAGAGACCCCTATCTGCAAGATTCGTCCTGCCAGGTGTGCAGAAACAGTTTGGAAGAATCACCTTTCTGGGCACAGGTAGGTGAGGCAATGGCTATTATCGATAACTAAGGCATTTGTTCTCTTGGTTTTAGCGACCTCGTTCCTGGAGATATGGCCTACTGACCAACAGTTCGAAGTGATTGAGCTGTACGCAGGGGCAGCCAGAATTACTCGCTTAGCTAGGGCCATAGGCCTTTCAGCTTGTGCTCACGATGTGACTTTCGATGACAATGCAAATTCTAGCTTCAATTTGCTTGGCAATGCGGGGTTTTTGCCCCTTCGAATGGATTGGGAACAGTTATACTTTGGGTTTACATTACTGTTTGGTTCCACCATGGTGGCCCTGTCAAAATTGAATGGTCGATGTTGTGACACAACGCTTGGTATATACCTAGGCTTGCAATATATTGCATTCTACATTCGAAGTATGACTACCTCACCTTGGCCATGGGTATTCTCTGCTCAACATTTGTTCAAATAAATGCTGGTACAAGCGGCCGTGATTTGCTTACCCCAGAGGGTATCTGGTGGCATCCTTCTGTGGCCAAATCCAACTTGCTGGTGTGCAGGCAAGTGGGACGGGCAGTAGAGGGCTGGTGTGACAGTTTAATTGGTTTTGCCACCACTGCATTTTATTTTTTGAAAAGGTCAGCTGTGTTGACCATCAGGTCAATGCTTCTGGCACTATTGACGGTTTGTGCACGTGGCACGGTGCTGATTGAAAACCCTGACAACAGCATCATCAATCAGCATGAGAGGTGGCAATGGCTTGCCCGACGTCTTAGGAAGTTGGGCTTACCAGTGCCATGGTGGAAATCAACTGCCACCATCATCAAACCAAATGTTTCTATGTTTCCTCTGCCCTAATTTCCTCTGCCCTCAAAATGGTTATGACTGTGGTGCTTTTAAGAATTCGCCACTGCATGTGCTCACTAAGATGTACCGGACTTCATTTTGGATGAAGCATTTCAACACGAAGACACCAAAGAGGACATCCTTATGGAGCTGGTCTTGGGGCGTGTCCGTGTTTGACTTGGGGAAGCTTTAAAAAAATAAAATGAAGAGTGTCATCAAAACCGCGGTGGCTTATTGGGATTCGAAGGGGCGTCGTAGATGGAAGGGCACAAAAGCTTTGAAAGCGACACAGATCCTCATTGGCACTTAGGATAGAAAACCAGGTTGCTTCCATGACCATACCTGCCCTCATCGACGACCTTCCATGACCATACCTACCCTCCAATCGGCCGTGAGCTTGGCCAAGGACATACACCCCGTCCTTTGCAGCTGCTGTACTCCAAGCTCGCCGCACCTTGCGCAAAACGCGGGGGCCTTTACCTGAGGCCTTGGTGGTCTCACAATCCGTTGGGTGTTGGGTTTGGTAATTAGAAGGGAATCCTTCATTTTGAAAGGTCCCCTGGTCAGGTTGACAAGTCAACACCCTTACCAGAACTCATTGGCAACATGAAGATCGGAGAAGACCAGTGGGTTGATGCTGAACTTGCGCCGGCTTACGCCTACGCACGGGCATCCAAGCTGTTGAACATCCCAGAAGAGTTTCGAGCTGTCATCCCTTCATCTATCTGATGGCTCTGCTGGGTCGCGCTAATTAAAGTGTAGAAATTAGAGAATGAGAAGCTGGCCACTAGCAGCTGTGTTTACATAGTGCAATTGCCTAAATTCATTATTCCCCTGGAGTGGACCCTACTTGGTGCCAAAAAGAATAAAGAGTACGATGGAACTCAACATTTTCATGGTTTGCCAAAAAAAAACATTTTTTTTTGCACCCCAATTCCGGCGTAATTGCCCGTCATTCCGGCGTAATTGCCCGCAATTCCGGCGTAATTGCCCGTAACGATATTTTTGAGAGTCTTGTAACGTAGTATACTACCAAAAATCCATTGATCCATAGACATTTTGGCTGAAAGCTGGCAATGCAAAGCTTACCTAGTAGGACCCTGTCAAGCCAAACCTTAGTTCGTGGGGCAGAGCTTCTCCGAGCGCAAACAATGTCCCTTGAGCATGATTCGGAATATGCAGAGATGGCAGCCCGAAGGGAAGAATTGTTAGTAACTTGGTATTCTGTAACAGGTGACCTTTAAGCGTTTTCATATTCGGGACCAGAATTATGGCTCTGGAAATTTCAATCATCTCCTTTATTTGGCCCTTGGTACATTTAGTACTTTGCATGTGTTTGTACATAATCATCGCCCAATCTTTGAAGCTTCCACAACACTTTGCCAGCCATGCCACTACCCTTCTCCTATTGCTGCTTGGCCTGAGGCGAAGAAGAAGCAGCTCCAGCAAAAGGCTTCGAAGCCGTGGCCACCTGCTGGGTATCCATGGGCAGAGACAGGGGCCCAACCACCAAAGTCGGAAGTCACCTAGCTGTGTAAAAGTCAAACCGTTTTCTGTTTGAATTGGCCCTCCTTCACTGATGATTAGTTTGTCTGTTAGTCTTAAGTTTTTCTCTTGTATGCTTGGGGTGATTCCAGGAGTCACTACCTGATGTGGGTGGTCCTACTGGTTTTGTGGCGGAACCCGCCCCAAAGGATGACGATGTTATCGTTACTCAGGGTGAAGGCACTGAAGCCACAGAGCCTACTGAGACCATTGAGCCTACCCAGCCTTAACCTGTGGATGCAAAAAATCAAGAGCCTGAACCTAGCCAAATGGATGTTTCCCTTCAGACTCCTGTTCAGACGGCGCCCAAGTCACCCATTGAGTTGGGATCTGATGGTGACAGCGGGGATGAGTATGAGCCCGAATCCCCGCCTGAGCCGCCACAGATTTCCAAAGCAGCTGCTGGAGCTCGCCTTCGCAGGCTGTTTAGCCCCCGCTCGGATGGGTCCTACCAAGTTCCCCAAGAGGCCGTTCACATGTACAAAGATCTGGATCAAAGGGGAAACCTTGAGAAAATGTTTGAACGTTGCGAGTACAGTCCAGTTACTTGGAAAAATGGTTGACTTATGATTACGGGCTTTTGTTTTCCCAATCATCAACAGAGAGGTAGAGGTTTCCTGAAATGGTGGTCCCCCAAAATGAATGTTTATAATGGAAAATCAACTCGAAGAGGATGAATTGAAAAGGATGATTTGGGGGTACCACTGTTGTATAAAACCCCCAAGTGGGAAAAATCAATTGACCTGGCGACCCCAAATCGATTCATCAAAATTCACCCCTCAATTTAAACCAGCCAAGTAGGTAGGAACGCGCCCTTCTTTTAGTAAGTCTTCATGATGGTGGCCCCTTATATCTCAGACAACTTGACTCTGAGGATGCTTTCCGCCGAAAAATTCAACGTATCTATGAGGAAGTGAATGAGCAAGTTCTTGAGGATGAGTATGAATTTCTCACAGAGGAGGATATGAGAACCCAAGACAAACCTTTCTCTGAGAGCCTGGAAGCATTTTCCTGTATGACACCCATGGGGGAAGGGGGGCCACATAGACACAGAATGGTACCCATGGGGGATAGAGAAAGCATTCTTCCTGTATAAGATGTCTAGTTCGTACATATTGGGTTTAGGCCTTATGGAAGACAAATGTGTGTGTGTATATATATATATAGGAGTACACATGCTGGCTTAGCTCGAAATATATGCGCATATACCCAAACAGAAGGCGTTTATATTTGAAATAGGTGTGGCTTGCTGTTGGCTTAAAGCCTGCATATGCAAACCTTAGTCCTGCAGAACTCAAACGTCTTATGGAACCACCTTGGTGTTTCAACAAAATATTCTGTCCATAAATCAAAAGTCGGATTGGGTATCTACGTATGTACCAGTCGCTCTTCCAAGATGATCTACTAAGATGTCCCAGGAAAAAGATTGCCAACGTCAAGAAGACTTGCGCGGGCAAGCCGGGTTGGATCAGGCCTAGCCTCCTATGAATGTCTTGCGGGTTGAACATGTCCTCAGCAAGCAGCAAGCGCATGCATCACTTTGCACAAGATTTGTTAGTGCTGCAGGAAGTCTGATTATGGTGAGGGCAAGATGTATTGGACCTGTGTCAAAATGAAAGGCTCCAGGAAGCAGCTTGGTTGCCAAAAGGTTTCTAAAGATTTTCATTGAGTTGCGTGCCAAAACAAAAAAGACAATCCACTGTCTTGGAGCCCCCACTGTGGGAACTAAGGCGCACTAAGCGAAACATTTTCCGTGAGTTCATCGAGGAGGATGAATCGCACACCAAGAACAAACATGTCAAAAAGGCTGACACTGACAATTCCGATATGCTGGGTGAAGGCAGCCATCGCACTGCTATCCAAAAAACTTAAATGCATGAATGAAAGTCGTAGTGCTACACTGAAACAAACATGCTGCTTCTAACTTCATGATTCTTGGCAGGTACGTCGGGGAAGAACAAAAGGAAGTCAGTCCCTGATGCCACCCCTGAGCCCGATGATGAAGTTGAGCAGAAAACAAGTCAGCGAAATCTGCAGCCCCGCATTCCAATAAGGATTCTGGGGATGAGGCTTCGTCGTCCGACAGCGATGACGGCAAGGAGCAGGAGAAGGTGCTCAAGCACCTCCAGTTCCCAGAGATTGAAGGTGGCAGCTTTTCTGCCAACATGTGCCCCAAGGTGTTGCGATGCTTGTCCAAGAGGCTGACAAAACTGGAAGCTTGGCTGCCTTCCCGTCGACTATGACTCCTATTCAAAGCCAGTACTAGTCTCAAATATTTTTTTGGAGGCCCAAGATTATGTAATATTTCAACCGAGAGGTTGCTGCGATGGTGGCCCTGCGCTTGTGGGATTGCTCATGTCCAGACTGCCCAGCTTCTTGCCTCCCAAGATCTTCCAAGGTTGCGCGACAAAGTGGAAGGCCTCACCAAACTCTTTTGCGCGACAAAGTGGAAGGCCTCATCAAAGAGTTTGGTGCGGTCCAGGACCGATTGCAGAACAGCTACACCAAAGGGTTGGTCGACGGTTTTGATCGATCGCTGGTTCCTCGGTGACTTTTTGGGGTTGCTACAAACTGTTATCTACCAAACATCGTGACTATGGCAACTTTTCTCTTACTCGTTCTCTCTTCTTTGGGGTGGCATTAAACGGCTACCCTGCTCAAGGTCTTTGAAGGTCATGAAGGCTGAGTTCCAGGAAGCTAAGCGCAAGTTGGGGGCTTACATCCAGACAAGCCACACCCAACTACCCTAACTTACCCAACCCATTTTGGACAAATGCTGTTCCCAAAACTTCCGACCATTGATTTTGTTTTCTCGGGGCTGCGATCCGATAAAGCAAAGCCTTAAAGATTTGATCTCCATACGGTCCTACTTCCCTGCATACCCTTCTTTGGCCTCTTCTTTGCCAAGGGCAATTGAAGCTTGTGCACTGGATGATCGTATCAAGTGGGGCTCCCAGTTAATGCTGCTCAGAAAGCCTTTCTGCAGTCAAGTTTTGGAGGCTCTGCAATTTACAAGTTCTCATACCGTACACATTTATCATCATTCTGAGCCTGCCAAGGACTGTCTGCAAGCCTGTGAAAACCCAGGCACACCCGAAGGCCACCCCCAAGGCCAAGGCAAGTTTGGCAAAGGCCAAATCCGCACCGGCCCACACGCCTGGCAAAGGCCAGAAGGCCAAGGCCGCGGCTAAGGCAAAGTCTTAGGATTAGAGGTGGCTTTGCTAAGTCATCAAAGGTCAACTGACCTTGCGCTTTTGAGAGACAATACGCACCATGTGAAATGGGTTGAAACATCTACTGAAACGTGGATGTGTAGATCGGGGTTCAAAAAGATCGCAGTGACATGTGGCAGGCTTGGAAAAATGCTGGTGCTTTCATTGCTTTCACTTTCCATACGTTGCCATTGCGCTGCAGCTATTCTGCCAAAATAGCCATGATGGAATGTGGCTCTTTGTGCTGCTGTCAAATTCCCAAATATAGATCCAAACAAGAATCGTTCTGCTAAATTGACTTGGCAGGCCCTCTGGGCGCTGATGATCCACAGCAACAGCAGTGGGCAGAGAGTTTGGGGGACGGAGTTGCGAGACTGCACCCTAAAACCGAAGGCTCCACCCTTACCTTTCCTCATGCTGTCTAAATTTGGGGTCCAGTCCAATTAGTTGGAAAATATTTGATGTCCGCACCTTTCCTGATGCTATTTAAACTTGGGGTTCTCAATCCATTTGCTCAGAAAATGTTTCATGCCCCATCGTCACAGCCAAGGACCATGCCTGCAAAGTGAAACGGTCAATGGTCGCGAGCAACCTCAGCCGAAAACGGGACAGAGACGAATTGCCATCTGAAGAAAAGTTGAGGGATGTACGGAATTCAGAACGTGACCTCCACAAGCACTTTGTTCGCTTGGGTTTATCCTTACCGGTTCCTATTCGAAAGCTAGAGCACACTCTGTCGGATGGGGCATCCGTGGTCACTGAATACATGAACCCATCAGATTGGCTAAGTTTACTTTTGAAAAGGTACCCGCAACTCATTGCTGGGGGCGCTTCGCCTTTAGAGGATCAACTGGAAGGATTTTGGGAAGCCTACCGCCTGCAGCATCCATCCCATGAAGTTTTTCAAAAGCAATGCCAGCTTGGACATGTGGTCCCCTCTGCTTTTGGGGTGATGAGGGCCGAGGGCCCAGAAGGAGTGGCTACTTGGAAGGTACCATTGAGTGCCCCCTTGGTCTTTCAGAGCAGGATGTTGATTGCTCTAGCTGTCATTCACTCCAGTCTTTGCCCAGCCACTGGCTCCCGAACGAGCCCCAACAAATTGATTGTTTGACCCCAAAGATGCGAAAGATTGACAAGCTGGGGACAAATTACTATGGCCATTCCTTTTTGAAGCGCTACTACCTGTTTGGGCTTCCTGGGTACCTGTATGATGGCGAGCCTGGAATAATTGAACAACATTTGGAGGCTGTGGCTGCTGATCTGGTTTCTCTTTTCAATACAGGAGTTTTTGTTGGGGAGAAGCAATACTTTGGTGCTTTAATTGCATCAAAAGGAGACATGAAGTTCCAGTCCAAGAGCATTGCTTGGATGAACCGGTCCTACAATAACCTTGGAACCCGAAACCATGCCGGAATTTGTAGCCTATGCAAGGCCGGAGAGGCCCACATCCCCATGGAAGACGTGCAGCTGGAACCGCAGTGGAAAAGCACCATGTACTTGGAGCGACCCTGGAGTGATGATTGGGTTCCGGCTTTCACAAAAATTCCCTTTGATCCAGCTCGTCCGGAATGGCTGTATAAACTTGATTTCTTTCATTGTTTCAAAGTAGGGCTGGGGAGAGACCTGGTGGGATCCGGTCTTGTCTGGCTGTGTGAACTCGGCATCTTTGACTATGAGAATTCCAGTCAAAACATAGATGACAGGCTTTGCAGATGCCATTCTCATTTCAAACTCTGGGCTTTGACCGAAAAGTATTCACCAGCTTGCCGTTCATTTACCAAGTCTTTCATGAATCGGAAGACATCAATGGATGCTGCCTGGAGCAACAGTAAAGGCAGTGACACGATGATTCTGCTCAAGTACTTGCGCTTTCAACTTTCTTTGGTGATTCGGGATGCAGGGCCAGCAGTTGCGCAGCATGTTCAGATTTTGACACTTTTGCGTGATGTTGTTGACCAGGGGATTCAGATGTGTGATCTGATCTATTCCCACAATATCCTCCTTCCAAGGAAGTGTGCCTCCCGGCTGTATCTACACATCATGGTTCTGATCCGTGGCTACAAACGTGTGGCCGCACATTGCTTGCAGCACAATTTCTCAGGGTTCCGATTGAAAGCAAAATTACATGCCATCGCCCACATTGGGCTGGAAATCCGCGAGGGGCTGAAGACTGCAGCAGCACGTCTGCTGAACCCGGTGATATGGGCTTGTGAATTGAATGAGGATCACATTGGTCATGTTGCCAGAGTGTCACGGAAGTTGGCTACTAAAACGTTAGGTCTTAGAATGGCTCAAAGATATCTGCTGAATACCAAAGCGATTTTCAGGCGGCATTTTGCCAAACAAAAATTCACGAAACCAAGAAAGGGTTGAATAGGAACCAAGCTGGATGCTGAGGCTAGGCAGGACTGAAACCCAAAGAAATATAATAGAAGATGATAGACTAGTTTATAACTAGCCCCCTAAAATATACAAGGTTAGTTTTGGGAATGTATCTTGTTTGTTTTGGGGTCAACCCTGGTGGCCTGCTGATATTGCCGGGTTTCCCGGCGCATTTCATCGAAGTGGAGGCCGCAGCAAAGGACAAACGGGTGGCTGTTGGAATTGTGGGTTCCATGTTGTTGGCTGGCCCAAGTGATGTTGGTGACCAAGTATGGGGACGAAGTGGGTATCATGGGACCAAATCTAATCTTTTCTTCTATGAAGAAGCCATTTTTTTGGTGATCGGGAACATGACAATGATTTTGAGGTCCAAACCGAACTGCAAGCCTACATAACAAGATACTTTAACCATAGAGTGGGCCACAGCGGTGAGACTGCTGTTTCAAACCCAAACCTTGAGGCATGACCAGCTCATACCCATTGAAAGGATCAATTCATAACATACCTTTTTGGAACCCACAAACATACTTGGTTTAAAATGACAGGACGCAGTAACATGATGAAACCATTGTGGGACAAACCACTTTCCGGCGTTTTTTTTAAATTCCGGCTGTTTTGAAGGTTTCCGGCGTTTCCACCATCCTCCGGCGTAATTGCAATAAAGAAATGCCTCCGGCAAAAATTTTTGCCGGAAGAGTTTCTAGGTATTGCGCCTGTCGCACAAAACGACTTTCGACACTTTTGCAGACACGTGGGAGTTAATGTCAGGAAGTGCCCCGCTTGCCACGCAAAAAGGGCATTGCAACCTGCTTTGACGCCTTCGAAAAGGAGAGCTTTTGCAGCGTCCCGCATAGACACGGCGACGCCAGAAGGAAACCAGAACATCGAGACGAGACTCCTAGAGTCTCAATACGAGCATTTCGTGCGAGACTTCCTCACAATTTTCATTCTTCGTAGCTTCAAAATCAACGTTTTCGTAAGAGTTTTCTCATGAACCTCAAGATTTGTTACCTCAAAACCGATGTTTCGTGCGAAGTTTCCGTCAATTTCATCTCACATCTCACAAAATGCCACGCCTGGCACGCAACTTGCACGTTGTCACCACCCGACGCTGACAGGGCGATTCACAAAAAACACGCAAAGCGAAACGTCTGAAGTGCTGCGCCTGCCACGCAAAATGGCGACGAGGATCTCCAAAGTGTTGCGCCGGTCAACTCATCTTCTGAAAACGACGCGAACCTGCCACAAAAAAAAATCAACACGTTATGAAACATGTTGATGTTGAAATGTCACAAAGCGCCACGCCTGCCACGCGAAACGAGGCTACGCGACGTTTGAAACCTCCAAAAGCGATTGCTTTTTCAGAACTCGCCACAGGCACAGTCATATTACTCTCACGACGGTCGCCCGCGGACACTTGCGAACGGTTGAAGGCCCAGCGGACACGTCTCAAACCCCAAACCCCCAAAGTAAAACGAGAACCCTTCGCTGCATTCAGGAACAAATGCAAATTATGTTGTCTGCTGGACGTTTCCGGAACTGATAGAAAGGAAAGAAATTCATAGTATAGTATAAGATTAAAAAATATAATATATATATATATTCCTAATATACATATATCCATATATAATGTGTGTGTGCGCGTGTGCAGTACCCGTTTTTGACCCTTGAACCGTATGTGAAGGGTCGCAAAACTTTTTTCCCGAAGCCCAGCACGGGGGCAGAGCCAAAGCAGTCTAAGTTCTTTTCAATCCCAAAGCCTTTGCAAGCAATCCATAAACTTTCACCAAACCTGTCTCTGCACTGGGCCCAGGTGGCCGGCTGTGTTCAACAATGTATCATGTGTCAGTCACAACTTTGTGATTACATGTGCTACGCTTGAGCACTCCTCTTGTTCTTTGTGTTGGCCCTTGTGGGACCCTTGTGGGACCCTTGTGGGAATATTTTTGTTCCCTGTGGATTTGGGTCATGGCGGTTCCGTTTTCGTCAACGGGGTCGTTTTCGTCAACGGGGTCGTTTTCGTCAACGTGGTCGTTTTCGTCAACGGGGTCGTTTTCGTCAGCTTCTTCTTTTGTTCTTTTTTCTTCCTTGGGTGCATCTGCCTTTGCTATAAGTTCCATGTGTCACTTGTACTGTTGCCTTTGGATCTATGTATGGATACGGCGGTTCCGTTTTCGTTAACGGTCTCGTTTTCGTCAGCTTCTTGTCTTGTTTTTGTTTGTCTCCTTTCGGTGCATCTTCTTCGGTTTCCTCTTTATGATGCTTCTTGCAATTTTTTCCTCTGGGTTTATGTATATGGTTTTGGCGGTTCCGTTTTCGTCAACAGGGTCGTTTTCGTCAACGGGGTCGTTTTCGTCAACGTGGTGGTTTTCGTCAACGGGGTCGTTTTCGTCAGCTTCTTCTTTTGTTCTTTTTTCTTCCTTGGGTGCATCTGCTTTTGCTATGAGTTCCATGTGTCACTTGTACTGTTGGAACAATGCAGTTGCCTTTGGATCTATGTATGGATACGGCGGTTCCGTTTTCGTTAACGGTCTCGTTTTCGTCAGCTTCTTGTCTTGTTTTTGCTTGTCTCCTTTCGGTGCATCTGCTTCGGTTTCCTCTTGCAAGAACAAATTGTTCCCTGTGGATTTATGTAAATGGGTTTGGCGGTTCCGTTTTCGTTTGGTCAGCTTATGTTTTGTTTTTGTTTGTCTCCATGCATTGAGTGCATGCATCTGCTTCGGTTTCCTCTTTGTGATGTTTCTTGTTCTCTGTGGATTTATGTATATATGAGTTTGGCGGTTCCGTTTTCGTCAACGGTTCCGTTTTCGTCAACGGGGTCGTTTTCGTCAGCTTCTTGTTTGGTTTGTGTCTCCTTTCTGTGCATCTGCTTCGGTTTCCTCTTTGTGATGCTTCTTGTTGGAACAAATTGTTCTCTGTTGATTTATATATATGGTTTTGGCGGTTCCGTTTTCGTCAACGGGGTCGTTTTCGTCAACGGGGTCGTTTTCGTCGCTTCTTGTTTTGTTCTGTTTGTCTCCTTTCTGTGCATCTGCTTCGGTTTCCTCTTTGTGATGCTTCTTGTTGGAACAAATTGTTCTATATATGGTTTTGGCGGTTCCGTTTTCGTAAACGGGGTCGTTTTCGTCAGCGGGGTCGTTTTTCTCAAATGGCTGTGCATGTATATACTTCCTCTCGTTTGAAGCTTATCCGAAGATATGCGAAGCTCTTGAATGCAAACGACAACGTTTCTGTATACTATTGTCGTTTGCGCTGGATGTTGTCCTTTGTGCATCGTTGGATCCTCTACGTTGCAAGCGGGGCAAATATACACATACCCTTTCGCAACGACCTGCGCGTCCCACACCTGCATGGAAACGGTTACCACACGCGCGCCGGTGATCTACCTGGCCCGTTCGTATACTGCTCGTCACAGACTTTTGGCAAGCGGGACAAACATATTGGAAACTTTTGCCTTTCTTCTCTGCTTTTGCTTGATTCGCCAGCAACGTCGCCGGCTCCGTCGCGGTGCCATTGTTCTGCTGTTTGCAGCTCCTTTCTGCCTGCCTGTCTGTGCTTCTTTCTGTTCCGTCGTCTTCTCTATGTTGCTTCGCGTGCGGCGGGGCTTCCTGCAGATGGGCGATATCCTGGTCTCTTTTCTGTTTTCGTTCCACGCTGGCAGCCCCGAGATCGGCCGTCGGCCCCACCGCCCTTTCACTTCCGTTGCTGTCTTCCCGCTTACCACGTACACCTGCAGATCCTTCTGTGGTCATTTCTCTTCCGTTCTCTTGTCTGCGATGTTTTGCCTTCGGCTCTGCTTCCTGCGTTTGGAAGCTCTCCTGTTCTGTACTCCGTTTTCGTTCCGCGATGGCACCCCAGACATTGGCAATGGCGCGTGCCGCTTTTTCTTCCGCTGCCCTTCTCGCGACTTTCGCCTGCGTTGCAGCTACCCGCTGTACTGCTTTGCTGATGCTTCCCCGGGGAATGTGGCTATTCCAGCAGTTGTTACAGACTTGGTCACCATTGCAAGAACATGCAAGAACGATGTTGCGCCAGCCACGGTTTGAAAGCGAACGCTGCTTGCTTTACGTGGCATATGCTGCATCTCGACCAGCCCCATGCCTTCTCCGAACAAAAGCCAAGCACACTCTGCCGCCGTTGCGTGCCCGTTTCCACATGGCGGCAGAAAATTTCATTTCGTCCTTGCGCGTATTGCACACGCGCACGTCGCACAAATACGATAGAATGTGGCTTGTGGGCTTGCATGTTTTGCCTTGAATGCATCTTCCTGTTTCCAGGCCGTGCATGCCATGCATTGCCACGGAATCTGCGTCTCAACGTGCCGACGAATGCATTCTTTGCATACTCTCGCCGCATCTGCGCGTTTCCATCGGCCAGCCGTGAATGCAGAAGCCGGCTTTGATTCATTACATTCTTTGCATTCTCTTTCGTCTCGGTATTTCGCTCGCAGCGCGCTCCAATCCATTTTTTCACCACCCCAGAACCGCAACAGCAATTCCCACCCTTGCGCCTTTTTGAAACGGTGCTGCAGGGAACGGTCTGTACACAAACAAACCATGCCTGTCTTGGACCCGCGTTAACGCAATGTAAGCTGTCAATGGGTCGCCTGCGTCCCCAATGTGCATGTCCATGACAACGCCTTCTTTGCAAGTTTGCCCTTGGGCTGCGTGAGCGGTGGTTGCAAACCCTGGAGCCAATGGAAACTGCTTCCGTGTGGCGCGGAGAACTGGCCGCCTTCGCCCCTTGTCCAAATACCACGGTTTCTTCTGCGGCGCGAAAGGGAAAACATTGTCTTCGTCGATCCCCTCGACACGCCAGGTGGTCTTGGTCTTGAACCGGACCAAGATGCACGCCGGCAACTCGTTCCAAATCTGCGTCATTTCTTGACGCGCCTCTCCGACGGCATCGGCCGGCCAAACCCACAAGGAGCCCCCCCAAGTTATGTTGAAGTTATGCATGTTATAAATTAAGTTTATAAGGAAGTTATGTTG